GTGGAGGGTGATTACATTTTGTTGGGGAGCTCGGATCTCAAAGAGTGAAAAGAGACTTTAATTTGAGGCACGAGGGAGGAAGAAGTGGGAAGGAATGTGAACTTTGAGATTTGCAGACAAAAATAAACACTGACAATGAAATCTTGTGGTATAAGTGTTTGTTACATAGTTGGCCATGAGAGGGAATTGAAACTGATGCAAAAGTGGTGGGGAGGAAAAAGTTTGAATTTTAGAGAGGAGCGAAAAAGATAAATAGAACAAATAAAGTGTTGGAATTTTGAGCCCTAAAAGTCTCTTTTGGAAATTTTGTGCTTGAAGAAGCTTACTGAATCCAAGAAAAACTGGCATCCTAAGTTGAATTTGAAGCTACGAGAGTTACGTTTCTGGTCTATCTCGTGGTCCAATTCAACGTTCAAAATCATACTTCCACCATTTAATTTTACTAACTGCTGCCCGTTGGTCTTCCAAAATCATGATTTGTGGTCAAACGCCTAGGAAAAAATCTGGGGATCTTAAGAAGTTTTGTGTTTGATGAAGGGGATCTCGTGGAACTATTGGTCTAAGTTTTCATCACTGTCCCTCGTAAAGACCCCCCAACATATTTTGAGAGAAGTACACTTGGCTCTTGTTAAATTAACTGCTATGGGAAGGGCACTTTTTTTTTTTTAATTTTTTAATTGAAGAACTTTAGACGGGGGGGAAATATAAGAAAAGAGAAAAGGTTAGCCACTTGAGGAGGAAGAGTAGATGTGAAGGATGGAAGACAGAATCATTCGGAGCAGTGAATATCGTAGATGGTTCCCATTTGTGAGTAAATAGAAAAATCAAGATTTTATCAGTTAGGTTGTAGCCAGAATAATTGCGCATGTTGGAGCCCCAACCACGACCCAATCAATAATACAATCGAAAACCCAGTTCCAAATATATACACATATATATATTTTGACACCTAATTAATATAAGTATATAAATCATCACATTTCTATATATTATGTGCACACATCGCATGGAATCCTATGCGAGCGAACAACAACACATTAATTGACCTTCTCACATGTATATATATCTACATATTTTAGGAGGTAGGATTTCAGTGAAGAATATAACGTAGCTGATCCATAATATATAGTAAATATTATAGTTTTGAAGATTATTAATTAAGCTAACAGGAAGGGTCCAGAAATTAAAGCTGTTGAAGGGGCGAGAGTGAGGGATACACTTAAAGAATGATGAAACGAAGAGGCAACGAGCTGGCCAAGCGATCAGCACATAAAAAGCAGCACGGCATATGATTCGATGGAACTCAATACATATATATCACCTTTGCTTGTATATAAGGAAGCGACAGTGTTAGGAGGAGAGTGTATTATATATGGTACGGTGCGATGGATGGGAGGAAGAAATAAAACGGAAATAAAAAAGCGAAGGGATTATGGATCAGACAGTGTTCCCAAGACAGAGCCATACGCACAAAATATAAAGAAAATTGAGGAACAACGCCTAGACGAGGGGCATCTTCCATCGCTGAATCCTAATAATAAAAACCGAACCACGTTGGACCGACTTTATCCCTCTTCTTGCATCCCACACATACCCCAAACTTATCCTCTCTTCTTCATCTCCCCATTCAAATGCCCTCTATATAATATACTCTGCTAATAACAAGTTACCATTATTATTCGTGGTCTGGTTATTATTTGGAAAATATATGGAAGTAATATCTATATATATATATATATATATAGAGAGAGAGAGAGAGAGAGAGAGAGAGCGAGTCGGCCGGGGCTCAAGTCCCCAACCCCAACGTCCCTATTTGAGAGAGGAGAGACATAAAAAAGGAGACAGAGGAAGGACCTTACATGTGCCATGATTGGTGTTGCATGTATGTATATCTACGCACCATATGTCTATTGGGAGGGCCTCCCCCTTTTGAAAGTTACACTCACACACACACACACACACACACACAGACTACTCTGCCTCGCCCCCCACTGTCTCTTAGCTCTGTATTGTGTCTTTAGCTTTTGATCACTCTCCTTCCACTTGTACATTTTTACCATTTATATACCTCTGCCTTCTTAAAATGAAAACTACTCAAAATATTAACATTCTGAATAATTAAGTTGGGATCAGCAGATCACACCGATTCATTCTGCTGGGCTTTTTTTTTTTTTTTTTTTTTTTAAAAAAAGAGATTAGTTGGTGATTTAATCAGCACATGGTTTATTTAATTTGTAGGGGGATGAGGCTGGCCAGTTGCTGTTGTGAAGTGAGTGAAGCAGGTAGTGGTGATGCTCGTAGTTATAATTAGAGCTTTAATTACTCCGATTAACACGAAATGAGTACGTGGTTTATTGGAACCCAATGTTGGCACAGACCGTCTCTACTGAATTTTAGTAGTTCGGAGGAGGCAAGTTTAAAAGTTTTCCAGGCACCAAAAGTACGTCTCTTTTTCCCAAAAAAGACAATATTTTGCCTTTCTATTTCCACATTTATTTTTTTTATCGTTTCTTTCCCTTTATTCCGTCTCCTTTTTCAGCACCAGAATAAAATATAAGCTTTATGTTCCTTTGGCCTGAGGGAATTGGATTCTTCCCTTTTCCATTTGAGATTTGTTTTAGTAATTATAATGATTCAAAATGTCTCTCCCCCCTTTTTATTCTTAACGCAAGTTTCCTAGCAACTATATTTAATATTTTAATATTTCGTTTTAATAGAAAATCATAATATAAAGAATGGGATGAGAAAAAAAAATGCAATTTCTAGTAACGAGATGATGTTACCTCTGCTTTAATTAATTTTCTATTTACTCCTCTTGAGGTTAATTATTATTAAAATTGGATGGTACAACAACCCATGTGTTGTGGAAGATTTAAAGCGAACTGTATTTGTCCAAAGTTCATCAGAAATATATAATGCAACTCTCTATTGACTTAATTAACTTCAATGGTAGTCGGCAACGAAATTAATTTCAATGCTGTATTTACAAAGCATGAAAATATTATTATGTGTAAAAATAGATACAGTTAAAAATATTAATTAATTTAATACTCAGGAAATTATTTTTCTAAAAATGTGTAATTATTTATTTTTGTTTGGCCAGGAGTTTTAATTATTTAACTAACCAGATCTTCTGTGTTGAGTGATAGACTGGAAATTAAAGATGGACTGATCCTTCCAAAACATGCCATTCCATTTAAATTCCACACTACAACTCATATCTTACCTAACCCTTGTAATCTGAGCAATGTTTAGGTGAACAATATAAATTAATTTTGAGCCTTATCATGCTTACAAACTACTATGTTCTAAACGAAACAAATTAAATTTTAGTTAAAGAAAGAAATGGCTTCCAGTAAGAAAAAAAGGATTAAGTGCATGTGCAGTGTCCTCACAGCCACATGATGTATCATGGTTAAAGTGAGCACTATAGCAACAAATTTAACCATTTTGTTGCATAAAAAATATATTTTCGAATATCTTTTTTTTTTACCAGCTATTTTCGAATATCGTTTATTTTATTTCAAAGGTAATTTTGTTATGCCTGGCTGTAACCTGCAGGACAATTATAATACACAAGATTACAAATATATGGATATATAGCATACTTGGCAAGCTTTAGCTTTTTTGTTGTCTTTTTGACAGCTATAATATATACCCAGATCACCCTGATTAAAATATTATATTGCTGCGGTTAAATAGCGGCAACCTTCACAATATCGTTCTTGTTTTTTTTCGCCAATGAAATACAATTTTGCTCTTTAATTTCCTTTAAAATATCTTAACATAATTGTCTTTTTTTTTTGGGCAGAAAGTTCAACGATACCATTCTATATTTGGAAATATATTTTAAAAAACATATTAATTTTTAGAAGAAATGTTCCCTCATTAAGTAGAAATATAATTTTTCTATGACATCATCAATAATAGATTTCTGAACATGAATTTATCATAATTTGTTTTGGCAATGTAATTACTCATAAAATAAAAGAACGTGAATTTATATGATTGTCTCTTGGTTCAGCGCTGTTCTTACCGCGTCTGAATATTTATTTTATAATAAAAAATTGTCTTTTTGGGTTAATCAAAGTTTGTTAGGGTATTTGCTGCGAAAAAGCAAGGATATTTTAAATATGGATACGTGGTTGATTATTGACAACAGTATAATGGAGAACATTGCATAGTTAGCGCCTTTTTTTTGGCGGGTGCGGGAAAGGGGAAAAAGGAGGGAAAGGGAAAAGGAGGGAGAGAGGCCAAAAAGCGGAAGGATGTGACTTCAGGATTTCAGAATGAGACGGAGGCCTTCAGCGGTCGCCGTATGTCAGCCCTGTACACGTGTCACCCCGGGATCATCCCTTTCCCCTCTCTCCTCTCTTCCCATTTACCTTTTTGCCCCTTCCCCCTACTGTATTAGTCTCGTTTCTCATACAGAGCCACTTATATCACATTTTCCCGCAAAATACAATACGATCTTTCGGCCAACGGCACAATACGATGAAGATCCATATCCGAGCCGATAATTGAGACAAGATATATACATACAAGATTATATGTATGTATTTGCCACCGATGAGATATCGGTATACACTCCTGTATTTTTATTATATCCATCAACGTTGTTTTTGGAATATCACAATTTCTTCTTAATCGGTTTTTACAAGATTATTAGTTTAATCTGCTAGTTTACGAATATTATTGAAGAGCATGGGTTCTTTACTTTTTGAAAAATTACATGTAAAATGCATTTTTTTTGTATAATAATAATAATGAAAAATGTATTTAAACCAGACGCAAACTGGTAATTTCCCATCCTCGATCTCTACAGCATTTACCTCCACGTTCTTGTAATTCTGAATTCTCGATTTGTAACTGGACAGACCCTTCTCTCTCCTCCTTTTACCCTAAGGCTCCCGTCTTCCTACATAAGGTCTTCCCCTCGGCTGTCTTTTCAGCGCCACTTTGAAACAGCGCGCCACAGCGAGGCAAATACTTAAAGGAACTGCCGCTCCTGCTTCTGCTTCGTCCTCCGCTCACACTGTGTTCTTGTTCTTCTTCTTCTCAATCCAACAGATTTCCATTCCCCCTCCCTGATCTCTCATCAGAGATCTCTGCATCTACACCTATTGTCCGTGATAGATTCGCTCTGTTGCGTCTGAAAAGCTCCGTTATCTTTGATAGATCTTTTTTAATTGAACCGATAGAAGGAGAGATTTTGAGCTCCGGCAATGGCACCCAGTTTCGATTGCGTTTCAAGTCTTCTTTGCACAGAAGACAACATCATATTCGATGATAACGATTACGAGAGTACGGTGGGGATGCCCGATAATTCGTGGCGTCAAACATCCCATCGACTCCACAATCCAAGCCTTTTCTTTGATGATTCAACTGGGTGGCCATTGCAGAGTGATGAGTGTTTGGCGATAATGGTGGAAAAAGAATGCCAGCATATGCCTGCTGGCGATTACCTGAATAAGCTACGGACTGGGGTTTTGGACTCTGGGGCTAGGAAGGAGGCCATTGATTGGATTGAAAAGGTGGGTTCCAGGTCCTCACCGGGTCTGGCTTTGTTTTTCCTTCAAGCATGGCCATTTTGTGTTTTTGCCCATGTCCATATTGCTGTGGATTGATTCATTCATTCTGAAATGAGTGTTTCTTAAATCTTAACGCCCATTATGAAATGGACTTAAACCGGGATGAAAGATTTACTTTCTGCCTACGGAAGCTTTTCATTGCAACAGATTTGTTCTCCATTCTGTGTTTCATGGTGATATCATCATTAAATTTGAGCTGTTTGGATGAAATTTATGGATTTTCCTTATATTTCAAGGTAGATTGGATAGATTCTGATAGTTTGCTTGACTCTGTTATCCGATTGTTCTTCAATGTGGCCTAATTGACTAAGAATTGTGCCTGTTGCATAGGTTCGTGCGCATTTCCGTTTTGGACCTCTCTGTGCATATCTATCCATAAACTACATGGATCGCTTCCTGTCTCTATATGAATTACCAGTAAGTCGAGAAATAAAAACAAAAGAACCGCTTTTTTTCTTTATCACGATCGTCACTGGTCCTGATCTACTCTTTCCACACGTAGAAGGGAAAATCTTGGTCAATGCAATTGCTGGCTGTAGCATGCTTATCTCTCGCAGCCAAACTAGAGGAGAATGAAGTCCCCCTGTGTGTTGATTTGCAGGTGGGAACCATTTTTGTGATGCATGGTGATTGATAAGCCAGTATCTTGCTCTTACTTGGATTAGATGATCCTTGTTTTTGCCGCAGGTGGCTGAATCAAAATTTATATTTGAAGCCAGAACAATCAAGAGAATGGAGCTTCTCATACTTAGTACTCTTAAGTGGAGAATGCAAGCTATCAGCCCTTTCTCCTTCATAGACCACTTCCTAAACAAGATCAATGAAGATCAAACTCCACTAAGATCTTCTGCATCAACATCTATCCAACTTATATTGAATATTGTGAGAGGTATCATCCCGTCTCCCTCTCAAACTCTTTGTGTTGCAAATGGGCTATCCCTATTCTTAGTGCTGCAATTATCAGTATATGCAATAACTAATGATGACCACATGGTGGCTGGAAACTAAATGCAGGGATCGACTCATTGGAATTCAAGCCATCAGAAATAGCAGCAGCAGTGGCAATATTTATTGCGGGGGAAGCCCAAGCAGCTGACGCAGAGAAAGCTGTCTCTGTTCTTGCTCAACACGTAGAGAAGGTAAAGCTGCTGCTGCAGATAGTGGTGGTCAAATAACAAAAGAAAGTGAATGTTAAATGAAATGAAATGATGGTTTCTCCCTTTCAGCCTTATCAATTCAGAGTTGTTTTCTTGTAATTAATTGGTAATCAGAATTCGAATTCTTCCATGGCAGGAGAGAGTCCTGAAGTGTTTTGAAGTGGTCCAAGAGTTGTCATCAAACAGCAGCACCAGCAGTTCTTCTGGTGCCTCTGTTCCTCGTAGCCCGATTGGGGTGCTGGATGCAGCATGCTTGAGCTATAAAAGTGATGAAATAGACGGTTCATGTTCAAGTTCTTCACATAATAATAGTCCAGATGCTAAAAGGAGAAAGCTAAACAAAACCTGAGGAACTGATCTATAATAGTGTTGCTTTTCTTAAATGGGGATCTTGTGTGTTTTTTGGAAAGTGATTCTCCCCTCTGAAGGAAAAGCAAACAACGACGCGGAAAGAAATGAATAGTAAAAGAAAGAGGAAAAAAAAAGAGAAAAAAAAAACTGAGCATGAAGAAAGTTACGTAAAATAAAAACAGTGGCTCATGGGATTGAAGTTGCAAGATAAGAGGAATAGACGAATCAGTGAATTGAGATGGTCCATGCACTTGCATGTAGGTGAGCACGCCGGTGGCTGTTAAATATTTAGACCTCTTAACAGCTAGAAACATGCGGAAGTGAAGGAGCCACAAGAAGGGGTATAAATAAGAGTTTTGTCTGTGTAAGTACAGTTTGTTCTAGGTGCTAGTATTTCCGTTTAATATTTATTCATATTTAAAGCGGACGAGGAGGGGAAAATATAAAGTGAAGAAGAAGAAGGAATCGAAGCAGAGGGCTCCTATTGTAGTATGAGCCTGAGGGGGGATATATTTTGGAGATGTTTTATTAACTTATTTTTTTTGTTATGATCGATCGATATAATGCTATATGTCATTATTCTTATTTTATTCGTTCTCCAAATGGGTGTCAGAGTCTTACAGGAAAATTTAAACCCCCATTTAAGTTTAATCAGTGTCCCTCGACGACTTAACCGAAGGATGTGTGCCCGTGGTCAACAATTTGGTCTGGCTCTTTGACTGCCTGACTGACCCGTTGGACCAATAAGGGTTTTGGGTGGCTATTAAAAGAAAGAAAACAGATGTGTTTTCCACGTGGGCTGACTGATTGGGTCAGGACAAAATATAAAAAAAAGCTGATTTAAGTCCACGTTGATAACGGCCTCGTACGCCTTGAATTGGATCTACTTTTTAGCGGTTTTCTTTTTTATTTTTATTTTTTTAAAAAAAATCCCTCTGCTTTAGCCCACAGGCCATGGCGGACACTCCGGTGTTGCTTAGAGTTTACACATCTCAAACAATTCCTTCTTATCACAAATGTAGGTAATGAATGAATAACCACGTCAGTCTTCACCATCGTCAAGGAAAAGAGCAAATTAGTTAAATTTATTTAATGTGTTCCAAAGACTGGGCTACCAGGGCCGAGCTCAACAGCGAGTTACTTTCTTGTAGAAATTCAAGAAGCAAATTTTGGGTAGCTGATTTGTGGGCCACGAAAACGAAGGCCGTTACCCTATAAAAGATGCTTGACGAATTTGGATAATTACCCTCGCACATCACAAGCCTAGTCTTGGTGTCCTACCGAGTAGTGCCCTATCTCGGTATTCTCTAGCTCTTCCAGTGTTGAAAGGAATTGGATAATGATATACGTCAATTTATTAACAAGAAAAAAAAAATTTCTTGAAAATTGCTAAATAACAAATTAGTATGGGCAAATTTTAAAATTCTAATTCAAACCTCTTGGATTATTTTGAAATTTTTAAGTCCTTTGAAATTGTGTAAATGCTTTTTACTATTTTTTTTCATTAGTACTCCTACCTAGTTTTCGGACGCTGGCAACCCCATTAGTGGTCGGTCATTGGAGTTATGGTGACTACTCTTTCTTATATATTGATTATTTTTTTTTTAGTTATTGACTATATTTATTTTTAGAATTTTGATAATTACTCTAGTTTAGCTATGACTAATCTAATATTACGATTAACTACTTTCATTTTGAAAAATTTGATAATTACTTTTATTTAACTATTAACTACTTTTATTCCAAAAATTTAAAAAATGCATTATGTATTGTTGTAAATCTAGTTATTACTTTTTTCTTAGTTATTTATTACTTTTGTTTAGTCAATAGCTGTATAAAAATAATCACTTCGAGTAAAACAATATTATCATTTCAAAATAGTACAAAAGCTCTGATTTTGAATTTTAAAATTCATCTATCTTAATTTGTTCTTTAGCATTTTTTAGGGTATTTTAGTTTTTTTTTAAAGAAATACTAATAACAAGTATCGGAAATGGCGGGGCAATTCAACAGGTGAGAGTTTTTACGGCCTGAAGAAGCTTGTAGTGCATAATGCATCATGTAGAAGCGATGGTAGTGCGACATATTAAGCATGTAGTCCTATGACAAATCTTGCGCTGAACTGGATTTCAATTGTGCTAATATATGTGTCAGGGAATTAGGGCATGTTTCACCGAGGAGAAACACGAGAAGATCTAGTCGCACCTACTTCTAATCTGCTATATGAAAGGTACCCACTCTTCCAAGTTTGACGAAAATGCGCACACAGCCAACCTCGAAGCTCCTCTTAGCTCTTGTATTCTTTCCCGCCTTCAATGTTCTTTATCGTTTATAATGAGTGGGCTAGACCTGCAAATAGTTTTCGGACTTGAATCTAACTTCTATAAGCTGTATAAACAAATGCTGATTTGCTTCGTAATCGCCTATTCCCAAAAAATCTAACCAGCACTATGGCCATGGGCCAAGACTATGGTTTCCATAAGCGTAAATGCGCTGCACCGGGCTTAGAAACTAGAAAGTCTTGTTCTGGAGATGGGGAACAATGGGGCCTGAAAGCCTAATAAACCAGAAAAAGAACCATACGGAAGGAATCAAAATAATCTGCGTTTGTCACAAGCTCAACCCTGGGTTTCATCTCATTCTCATGCCCCACAAGAACATCCAACTCTTTTTGGGCCTTTTGGAGTGAAGAGAAAACATCCAACTCTGTTACCTTCATATTATAGGCCCGTGTAATTGTAGGCAGGGCCTTCTCCCCTCAAGGGCTGAGCAGGACTTCATCTTCGGAGCCCATCACCTCAGGAAACTTGCAAACCCAAGACACCCGGTCAGGTCACCTTATCGGACACCAAACTCTTTGTTTAACACTTTGGGTTCCATAAAAGCGGCCCTTCTCATTTAGCTCAAATTGTGTTTCAAAAGGTTGACTCAGTTTGAAATTTTGGTTTCACAACAAAAAATAAAAAAGTTAAAAAAATTGGCTCGTCTCATAAGTCAAAAAGTCATGCGTACAAATCCTGTTGGTGATATGAGAGTGGTGTTGGTGTGCAATTTATAACTTCTGAACACTCTCTGAATTTAGAGACACATCTAAATGTAAACGTAAATGTTAAAAATTCTGAAAAAACAATCATCATAATTTTACAAGTCTGGTATATCAATCGACTAAAAAATAATTGAATTCAAATAATTGAGTACGTTTTCTCTGAGCTTTGCACAAATTAAGTGTCAGATTTAGCGCCCTTCTCCCCCACCCCACCCACCAAAAAAAAACCCTCTCAAACTCCGTACTTGTTTGAGAAATCAGATGGTAAATTCAGCAGTGTGAACGGATGACCAAAAGTAAAACGGTAAAATCTATGATTTAAAAAAAAAAAAAAAAAAGGAGTACCAAAACGGTAAAATCAGAAGAAGTGAAAACAGAAGAAAACACGCGGCAGCAGCCGAAAGAATCAGCGCAAAATAAGCACAAAAACCTAAAAAAGTGTGCATAAAACTCCAATAAAACACACGCCAGAAAGCAGTCGGTCAGGCATTTGCGACCGCAATAGCCGCGGATGGGCGGGCCCCGCAAACCCGCAGCACACGCGTCATCAGCCCACTGGCTCCGAGCTCCAACCCGAGGCACTAATAAAACCTAGGGGGATTGGTGGGGCCGTGGGGCCGTACAAGAAGCGCGTGCTAGGTGCATGGGTCTAGCCCATTTAACAATAGTTTGACCCTAATCCCTCTCATCGAACCCCGAGCCGAAGCGTGCGCCGATGCATGCGTGAGATCCCGACGGTGATGCGGTGCGTATCGATGCAGATACCCCGCTCATCATTTGTTCCTCTCGCCACGTGTGCGACGCTTCCTGTTCGTCTGATTCCCATCCCGCGGCCATCACACCGCCACGTGTGAAGGCGTGGGTACAAGTTAAAAAGATAAAGACGGCGTGTCTGACTTTTATTTTTGTTTCAGTTTGATTTTTTTTTTTTTCCCAACTGCACACTGCTGCTTGTCACTGTGCCGGGATTTTGTGGTCGGACATCGCAAGATTTTCTTCTTTATTTTAATAGGTGTCAAGGAATTGGTGTATTTGGTGGCCTTGCTCATATTTTTTTTAATCATTATTTTCCGTGATTTAATAATGTCAGGGAAAACAAGAGCACATTATTATATTTGAAAGCGTACGGACTTTCACATCACAGCGTTTTAAGTACATCAAATTACTGTTTTAGCCCCCTCGGCGTGCTTCTTTATTGCTGCTCCTCATTATTATTGTTTGGCTTGTCACTTTTTCAGGTTCCATCCACCACCTTATTAACTTTGACATAACTAGAATCTTCAGGCAAGGGACCAAATTGGTATATGGGATAAAACACATGTCGATTTTAATAATTTTCAATTAAGCGTACAATATAGATTAGTCGGTTGTTCAGAGCATTTTCACACTGGATTACATACGTGTGAGGGTGAAAGCTTGAAGCTGTTGATGAGTTCTAAATACAGTGACTCGGCTTGAATTGATTTTGGTGTAAATAATTAGACTACATAATTATGAATAATGAAATTGGGGCCATCAGTATTATCACATTATTTCCACATAAAATTCATATTATTGATAACCCATAAATAATATGATTTAACGCTGAGTAGATAAACTCTTAGAAGTCACGTGTTTAATTTGTTGTTAATGAGCTTTAGAAATTTAAAATTATTGGTTCGTTGTGACACTATATATGTATGATCCTAGCTTTTATGATTGCTACTGTTGGCAATAACAAAAAAGTAGTTTTGCTACTGAGGTAGGCTTCACAAATAATTAAATATAAATTAAGTGGATGTTTTGTTTAACCGAATTTTGCGTGGATTGATTATTGATAACTTGCCAAACAATTGGAGTTGTACTCTTCTTCGTTTTGCTTTCTTTGTGGGTGTGCAGAACTGATCCTTGCCTCGCAGCAGTAATTAACAATAACGCGTTGAATACCAATAAAAGTTGGTTCAGTTAGTAAAGAGTTGATTCATAACCCATGAGGTCGTGAGTTTGAATCCCGCTGCTGATATAAGGATCTTGTTAGTAGGCGATTTGTAACTAACTAAGTACCTCTGTAATTGCTCTTTGAGCTTAGAGGCATGTC